TCATTTACAGTTAGCCCATGTAAATTTTGCTCCTAAAACGGGAGTTAACGTTGATGAAGTTGAAATCATAAAGTGCTGATTTCTCGTGTCGGTTTCTGACAATATCAGTGACTAATTTTAAATAGCGTTTCAGTAAGTAGCGCTACGATGTCGCCGTTTGGTTTTTCTTACTCTTGGATATGTTGGCTTCATATCCGTATTTACATTTTTGCGAAATTCTATTGCGTTTTTTCACAAACCTCGCACAAACCATCGATATACACAAACTTTAACACCAAAAAACGTGCTTGAAATTTGTGATTTTCAGAAAGGAAAAAAATACTTAATGCAAAAAATAGAAATACGGATTTAAACTTTTTTTTAAAGTTTTTGATCGCATGAATGACTGTAGAGATGACAATTAAAATTTTATTCATGTTAGTTAAATTATCAGCCCTGCTGATTTTCAGAATCACGTGACGCTAAAACAAACACAATGTTCACAAAATATTAATAATAGGAAAATACAAGTCAAGAGCTTTCTAAACATATATAGATTGTATGGTTTCTTGTAAAATTTATTCCGATTATAGATGTTTACATTTTTCATGCAAAAAAACTATCCTGCTACCTTAATTGATTCTATACTACAGGTACTTACTCTTTGATATCTCTCAAGGAACTAAGATCTTTGTGAGATTGGAGATCTGGATCATGTGCCAATAGATGTATACAGTAAGGAATCACGTGTTCTGGTAATAATGATGTCAATCGACCTAACAAAAATGATCACATAGATGTCAGGAATATGATTATGATGATTGTTTAACATTAAAATGATTGATATTTGTATTTGATCATATATATCTATGACCTGATGTATAATGAATATATAAAATTTGAACATAATCAGTCAAAGCATGTCAGAGATATGGCTCTAGAAGCCCATTCATTAAAACAAAATGGCCACCAGTCACCCATTTGGAATCTCATCTGAAAAACAAATTGATGTGCATCAAGCTCCTATAATGTCCAATGTATATACAATGTACCAAGTTTAAACAAAACCCATCTGTAAACAGCCAAGAAATGCTCTATTTTGACGATTTTTCAATACAAAAATGGCTGCCATTCGGCCATCTTGAATCAGATCGTGAAACAAATTGATGTGCATATGTATAATGTCATGTATGATGTACCGTAAAAACTATAAAATTTCGACTGGTTTTAAGTAATTATTTTTTTTTTTTTTGAAGCCAAATTATTAGACTCACAAAATCTAATAATGTTCTAAGGTGGACGAAATTTTGGAGGATATATTCGACAATTTTGAATAACATGCAAAGCTTTTTGGGTATCTTAAAAAGTGGAATAAACAACGATAGTACGGACAAATTTGTTTGCAATAACGTGCGGTGCGTGCTCAGCTAGGGGTCACGACCTACATGACCTAATTTACACAAGAGTGAAATAAAAACAAGCATGTACATAGTACAGACAAATTTGTTTGAAATAACATGCGGTAAGTGTTCAGCTAGGGGTCACGACCTACATGACCTAATTTACACAAGAGTGAAATAAAAACAAGCATGTACATAGTACAGACAAATTTGTTTGAAATAACATGTGGTAAGTGTTCAGCTAGGGGTCACGATCTACATGACCTAATTTACACAAGAGCAAAATAAAAACAAGCATGTACATAGTACAGACAAATTTGTTTGAAATAACATGTGGTAAGTGTTCAGCTAGGGGTCACGACCTACATGACCTAATTTACACAAGAGTGAAATAAAAACAAGCATGTACATAGTACAGACAAATTTGTTTGAAATAACATGCGGTAAGTGCTCAGCTAGGGGTCACGACCTACATGACCTAATTTATACAAGAGAGAAATAAAAACAAGCGCGTACATAGTACAGACAAATGTGTTTGCAATAACGCGCGGTAAGTGTTCAGCTAGGGGTCACGACCTACATGACCTAATTTACACAAGAGCGAAATAAAAACAAGCATGTACATAGTACAGACAAATTTGTTTGAAATAACATGCGGTAAGTGTTCAGCTAGGGGTCACGACCTACATGACCTAATTTACACAAGAGTGAAATAAAAACAAGCGCGTATAATTAAAATTTTCTAAATTATAAACCTTAGAAAAGATTACATTTTGAGCGATCAATGAAATTTGTAAATGTCCTTTTTACAGTAGTCTTACAGTTATTGATAGAGTGCCACTGTCATTACAGTATCTGCAGTTATTGATAGAGTGCCACTGTCAGTA